CCCATCTTGCTGAGATACACTCAATCGGGAGTCAGGCGATCAGACAATCACTGAACCTCGATGGAGAGATGCCTTCAAGCACCAAAGCAATCACAAGTGAGGGTCATTGAGGGTCAGCAGCTTATCCATCTGTTTTCTTTTCAATCATAGGACTCTTAACAACAAATGTCTCTTCTTTGCATCACCGGAATGTTTGCATCTCTCAGCAGCTTCAGACTCCAAATCACTGAATATTTATATATGTCCCACAAACTCTGTCCTCCTCCAGCATCTCTGGCTGCTGCTCCTTTTCCTGGACAAAGGACAATCCGGACAGCGCACCGGCAAATCCGGTCTCCTGACCCCTGGCATTCACTGACCCCTCCTTTGTTGGGCCCATTTTCCTGGTCTGCTCTTTACATCTCTTTACTCTTCGCCCAGCCTCCAAGTCCAATGCAGAGATCCTCTGGACAGCCTCAAGGCACTCCACAGTTGCCCAGGCCAAGGGTCCGCAACTCAAAAAACTTATGCATTCGAGCAACGTGCAGCACACCAGAGTTCAACCATGTTCAAACTATAACCCGAATCATTCATTAGGTGATATTTAAAAACAATTATGTGTATATATATATATACAAAGAGAGAGAGAGAGAGAGATCCTTGCTTGCTGCACAGGACGAGCAACCATCACAATGAAATCCGAAAAGGTGTCAATTCCAAGACTGTCCATGTTTTGTTGTGTCTTGTAGTTTCCACTCTCACAAAATCCAACCATAAAATCTCAAAAGCCTCAGTGAGGCTTCAAATTTCCTGGGACTTCGTGGGATGCAACGGCCTCACCCGTTGGTCCGCGCCTCGCAGCGGCCCTCCACCAGACGGTAGCTGCCGAGCTCGGGGGTGGATCCCGAGGACCTGACGCAAAGACCGGGGAGGAAATGGGTCGTTCCATGCGGGGTTCCGTTGTAGTGAAGCCCAGCATGAGTTCACCTGGTGGTGCTGATGTGATTGGTTTCTTGCTAGTACGCAGGCCCAGGGCCTAAAACTGCCCAAAGGAGGCCTCAACATGCCTGTAGGGATGTTGACATCCAAGGAAATTCAGTGCACTGTACTAGCGGTTCTTGTCATTCGTGCAGGTTTGGTCAGATTTCGGCGGCACAAAAATTAACTGCCCTCTGTGGCTATGACGTTTAAAGTTTAAGATATTTTAAGAGTGTTGAACAGAACGGCACGCATACGGCTTGTTTTGATTCCACGTTGAAGCTTCCCACAAGGCAACCTGCAGCTGTACAACCAGGTTCCTTCGAAACTGCGGATCCCAGAAAGGCCATCCTCACTTGGAGTAAGGCTGCATAGGCCTAAAATCTGCCTGGGAAAAAAGTAGGCTTCAACGCATTTCAAAACTAAACTGCTACAAAGGCCTTCAAGCTTTGTGCTGGACACATGCAACCACTAACGAGAAGAAAGGCACCGAGAGAGCCAGTCCAAACCCTCGTAGAGGCCATCTCCAGTAGGAGCCACTGTCGATTGAATGAACCATTTCCGATGTCGAAGCTTTTGCAACTCCAGCGCTTCCATTACCTCAGCCGGAGTCATTGCATTGGGCAAGTCCTGCTTGTTGGCAAGCACAAGGAGAGCTGCGTTCTTTAGCTCTTCCTCTTGTAGCATCCTCTCCAGTTCCTCTTTGGCCTCGCCAATGCGCTGCCTGTCGGAGCTGTCCACCACATAGATCAAAGCGTCTGTGCCCTCGAAGTAGTAGCGCCACAACTTTCGGATCTTGTCCTGGCCACCTGAACTGTTAGGGTGTTTAAAGTTGTTTGCTCAGTTACCCCAACCACATTGTTCGGGGTAACAGTATCTTGCTTTTGGTCAACGGGTGTCGAACTTCTATTGTATTCTTGGGTGTCCTTTATGCTTTTTCAGAAAAGAACACTCAATGAGTCATGATGAAGCCTCAATGAGTCACGATGAAACAGGATAGAGCTAACCTGCAATAGTTGTCTGTTTACCCTGTCTTGCCTACATCCCAAACAGTAAAGTTGATGTTCTTGTACTCCACCATTTCGACATTGAAGCCCACTGTGGGGATGGTGGTGACTACTTCTCCCAGCTTCAGTCTGTACAGGATGGTGGTCTTGCCGGCGGCGTCAAGACCAAGCATCAGAATCTTCATTTCCTGACAACTCATCAGTTGAGCCCAGATCTTGCTGAAAAGCAAGCCCATCTTGCCGAGAAATTTACTTGCTAAAAGCAACTAGCCACAGCTAGCCCTGACTGTCCGCACTTGAGTGAAGCTTGAGAAGAAAATGCTGCTTGTACATTCTTCCCAGTTATTACTAGTTTCATTTGGTATATTAATATTACAGACACAAGAATGCCAACAATTGTAATTTTTAATTTGGGTTTCTTGGACAATGAATGACCGAAGAATGCATAATTGCTAATTCAAGTGGGGTGTTCTACCAGCGCTTTGACACCAGTGTCAAATCATGCCAAAGTGTAAAGTCCGGTCTGTTAGACTAGACTCTCAAGAGGAGTTGTGCAAACTGACCACGCAAGACTTTTCACGTTGGCAAGTCTGCCCGAAGTTATATAACCTCAACTAGACCCGGCCTGCTGCTAGGCGTGACAAAGCTGCTAGACAACTCCTGAAATTGAGCAGGTTTGGCATTTTTTTGTACGTCCGGTCAAGAGAGGCCATACCACAGCGTCACTGTGCAGTCATCAAGCATTTTCAAGTTTCTTCAGTGTGACCAAAATCGGACGATCATCAACCATCAACGGCGTGACAAACACCACCCTCAGTTCTCTAAACTGCATTGAACCACTGTCCAGTCCTCAGATGATGGAGGTGTAGTTGCGGCAAAGGATGCGCCCTCCTCGCACCCGTCTAGGAAAGGACTTCCTTAACTTCCTGACTAAAAAACATAGTGTTTTCCTTGGGCGAAGTGTGGCTGTGTGTTCTTGATGTCCGTCCAGGTCACACTTGGTCTTGCTTCTGCCAAGCTGAGCGACATCGGTCACTTTTTTAGAATTTTAGTTTCAATCCCTGATTCCGCTGTCAACTCCTGTTGTTCAACTGCTCAACCAGCGAGGGAGACTAAACCTGCTAACCAAACAGTGGGTAGTGGTGCAAATCGCAGGTCCAGTCATAAATGAACCATGTGAAGTGGGTCCAAACAACCGCAGCAGGCGCCTTCTGACTTTAGGAGACACGAAAGGTAGGAAAGCCGGAAGGTGGAAGGGCGAAAACCGACAAGCGTTCAAAGCAGCGACGTCGATGTCGGCTCCTGCTCTCCGGTATCGTGCATAACCGGAATTTTAAAAGCAAGGAACAACAACAAATAGATGACGGACGGCCCGAGAGCGTTCAGGTGCAGAGTTACTCTGGCGTAAGGCGTGATTGCATGATGATGAAATTGTGAAGCAAAGAGATCCAGGAGAGGGTGACAGTGAAAGAGCGTGGCAGAAAAGGATGGGATGGACAATGAACAAAAAGCTTAGAGGTGCAGCTTTACAACAAAGTCTGCGTGGATTCAGGCCACGCTGTCCCGCCCCGAAGAAGTATCCGAGTGAAAGGTGCGAGCTTTAAAGTGAAAAAAGATTGCCATATATATATATATATATATATACCTGACAAGGGGGGGACGAAAGCCAGCCGCCGCCAGACGAGTGTCTCTTTTTCTGGCGGGCGTCGCGGCACAAGACACATGGTCGGCAGCTTGCGAGGCAGCGGCGCCGCGGATGCGGGGGGCGTATGTAATGGTGGTTGAGGGAGCAGAGAAGCAAGCCGGGCGGCTTTGGAATATATAAGTTTGGTATGAAAGAAGTACTGAAAGAGAAACGCGATACGTTGTATGTTGGCGTTGGTCATCATCACTCACAAGGCAATGGCATGTGTTTGTCACACGCAGGAAGGCATGCGTCTTATGGAAGTTGGAAGGCGACATCAGCCTTAGCGAAGGGGGCATACCGTCTAAGTTCGAGTGGTGGGACACCACGCGCGCGCGCGTAGAAGACCTTCTCCATAGTGAGCGTCGCCGCAGGCAGGGGCGCGCGCGCGCGCGCGCGAGTATGGCATGCGTTTGAAAAGAAGCAACTATGTGTTTGTTACATTTGGAGTGTTTGAAGTTTGCCATGCATACTGCGGCACGTCAAGAAGCGGCCTTCGTTGATTTGGAAGAGTGAACGGGCACGTCTTAACCGGGACACGGACATTTGATCCCGCGGCGCAGACAAGATCACAGAAGGGGAGGTCCAGCAGGAGAAGCTTGGGCTAGCAAAGGAGTGAGGATTTGTGTGCCTATCGATGCACATGCCTGGACTTGAGTGAGTCATGTTCTGGCTCAATCCAAAACACGTCCTTTAAAAATCCAAACGCCTTCTTTATTCTTCTCTTTCTTATCAACTCTGCGTCTTTCTCACTCAGAGGCCTTGACTTTGGCACCTGCGTGCGTAGATCTTTGGGCCGTGGACCGAGGCTGACTGGATTCGGCCAGGGCTGCCAAATAAAAGGCGACGTCATGAGTCAGTAGTATGTAGAATAGATCTATTATCTATTATCTATCTACCTATGTATCCATCTATCTGTCTATCTATCCATCTATCCTCTCTATCTCTGTCTATCTATGTTTGTATGCATGTATCTATCTTTCTTTCTATCTATCTGCACCGGCAAGCCGGAAAAACGTTCGGTGCGTGTGGACGCCGCGAGAAGCACCCACTCGACCGAGGACATGGTGCAAGTATAGTTTTTGCTAGGGGACAGGACCCCTATGCGGATATGTAGTCAACCTCGCAGGCATACTCAGTCCAAATATGTCCAAGTTCATGGAGTTGAACTCATGTCACTTTCGCTTCTCTATGGATTTCGCAAGTTACGGGTTGTCCTGGGAACTCGTATCCTACGCGCGGCTGCAGTCTGCTCTGTACATGGGTCCCTGTCTCCACTCCAGTGCTCAATGCCCATTGTCCAAATAGCATCAACAGCCCTTAATGATGCTGATGATGCACTACTTGCGTCATTGCATCACTCGCATCACCAAACACTCTTTTCACTGCTTTTCTGACCTTCGCTTTGGAGCGCTCTCCCCCACCAAGCTCCAGGTTCACCCTCTTTAACTCACTTCGTTCGCTCTAAAAGCTCGCTTTCGCAATATATCAAAAAATGCAAAAATCAATGAAACAGTGAACAAATGAGAAAGCATTGTTTCAAAAATGTGAAAAAGTCATTAAATCCCCACCAGGTTCAATTGAATGACCTGTCTTGACCATGTCCATCATTTTTGTATGTGGACTTGTGGAATGTAGCTTCCTCAATGAAAGATTTGAAAATAAATATACAAATTCACAAATAACATGCTTGAAGGTGAAAAAATGAGAAAAATGGTGGACATGAGCCACAATATGTTGGGAAGGTGCTAATTAGTGAGTTTAAGAGATACTTCTATAATATAATATGTCAAACGGTGTCAAAAGGTGACAGTTGGAGTTTGAAAGCCATTCTGTGGCTAAACCCCGCTATCCTGGGGTATCAATTTGCCTGGCTGATACAGTCGGTATTGATGTCCGTATTTACAGTTAAATGTGTGCATTGCACCAAACGTTTTACACCAACCACCGTTTACACAACACCACGGCTTTACACACCGACCACCGTTTACACCAAACCACGTTTTACACCAACCAAGTAAACGGCGGTTGGTGTAAACCGTGGTTTGGTGTAAACGGTGATTGTCATATTGCCGAACAGTGCCCTGGGCTTCTGGACCGATTGAATAGCCCGATTTTTTGACACCTGATGCTGCCCCTCCTTCTTGGCCGGTGATGCTTCTACGCCTCCGTACCGACAACAACGGGCGCTGGCTCCACATGGCTTGATGCTTTAGCCTAGATCAACCACCTCTAGATTCAGTCCATAGACTAGACACTATACATCTGCAATCATCTGCACTGCCAAAGTCGCAGCTTTCAAACCCCCTCCGCCTGGTGCTCGAAGGCCATCCCTGGCACCGTCGTCTGCTTTCGGATGCTCGTGGGGGGACATGTGAAGAACTGGCTAGTGCCATCAGCAATGGCAGAAGAATCTTGTGAATATGCTATACATCTATATACTACATATTACTACATCAACTGATGATAGCTGGTAACTCACCAAAAACGGAAAGCAAGGCTGTGCTACCAGAGTCTCATGACCGCAGTGTCATCATGCAGCCAGCCTTCTCAACTCTGACATCATTGTGTTCAAGAGTGCAGTTGAACAGAAACAAATGGGGTTGCCACCTTTATTTTGTCGAATTTTATTGCAGGTTTGGCAGATTTGACCAAAGGCCGAGAATGCAAACATCGACTATTGGCCAGGCCAAACGAAAATATCTATCCTGTCATGGAGTTCTGGAAAAGCAATGCACGAAAACAAAACTGCAAACCTTTGTGACTTGCTGGTTCCTTCTATCTTAGTGATGCGTACTTCAACAAAGCTTCCATCACCCCACTCCGTGAAACGTCGGCCACAAGGCCCTAGGACGACTCAAGGATCCGTGAAACGAGGATCACTGCGACTGCCTTCATCTCAGTGCTCCAAGGACCCTGAAACGGCGAACTGAAAAGCCATGCTGCTTTGGCACGAGGCCAAACAAATCCAAACAGTTTCTGGACTTGCTTTCGGTCACCTCCAAGCAAATTCACTAGAAAATTATATAATTGAAAGAGTCTGAAGTTCCGAATCAGTGTGATTAACTATAGAATGACAATTACAATCGATGAAAAAGGGCCTTGATGTTCAAACTCATCGGATTCATCGATGTAAACTGCAATTGAGCTTGAGCTCAACATGCTGGATCAGCCCCGCTATCCTGCAACATGCTCGGTCTGAAGCAGGGGTGATCTCAACTCGACGGCCATTCCGGGAAGTGTGAACCCCCAAAAAGGTTTCATGGGAATCTCCAAACAGTGCCTGCGCCAAAAATGGAATCTGCATCAAACCCTGCAGAATTGCAGAGTCCTGATCTTCCTGAGAAGGAACGCAACATAGCGCAACCCCAAGCAATTGAATAAGCCAAGTGTTCAACTTCGTAAGGACAAAATTCAATAACTACGTTATAACTTTAACATTTAACAACTGAACCGATACGGAAGAGTTTGGAACGCTCCCAATCTCCCCAAAATGTTTTTCAAATGTGGGCAAGTTCCAAGCTTTGGGCACTGTTTGGAAAGTCACCGACGCACATCCGACTGGAGGGAATGAGTTAAATGGAGCATTCTTTACATGTCGTAAATCGTCCGCTGTTGCTGCTAGAAGATCGTGACAATGATGCCAAAAAGACTGGAACCGCGTCAGGTTCAAGTGACTGATTTTCTGTATGGCTCTATGTCGCTTTTCTGGGGCGACACTTTGAGCCACTTGGTCTCCAACGCAACGACGCAACTGGTTCCCTGTCTGTCCAGTTATATAAATCCAATTAACACACGGCCTTGCGCATACGAAACATTCACAGTATTTCTGAGCCCTATAGCCAAATGGGCTCTCACCCACCTTTTAGGTGTTGTTGCCCATGCCCGGTGGGCGATCCTTGGAGATGAGGACGGCCTCTTGCCGCAGCAGCTTCTCCAATTTCTCGAGCTCTTCATAGATTTCTGGGCCTTTCGCCTGTGCATCAATGGTTTCATCATCGTACTTGGGGCACTCTATCCACACAGACTGCATGTTTCTCTCCTGGTTGGGGAACCACCTTTAGAGGGTCAGGTTCTGCACTTTGGACATATCTGAAGTATCAATTGATTGCATGTGGAACCGGCGAAGAGGATTGAACAGCGTCCACCTAGATTTCAATACATGCATCAGGTGTCCTTGCTACGGCAACCACCACGGCTGCGAATCATCCGCCTGTCAGGAGCACAATGACCGGCTCAACAATTTGCATGAGCAAGTTGAATGAAAGTTGAATGATGACCACAGGAAACAGCACGCGGGAGGGTCTAGGAGGCCGATCTAGGAAGTCGAAGCCCTTTCTTGTCGCGATCGCCTGTGAGAAATCCAACCTAATAGCAAAAGCAACCTAATAGTGATGGCCTCCAACCTAATCAAAAACCCAAATTCAGAAACGGGTCGCCTGGGGGCGGTAGCTTCGTTTGTCTCGAAGCGCTTCTTCGGCTCGCTCGGAGTCTTGGCGCAAAGGCAGAATCCCAAGGAGAAGAACCTCACGCGGACGAGTCTGATGAGGGAGTACGTTATTGCCATGCTGTATCTCCACATGGGTGAAAAGCTGACTCACAACAAGCACATCACATGATTCTCATGACTTACAAGAAACAGGTCAACTCGTCCACTGTTGCACTCTCATGATTAATGTGTCTTTCATGATTTGAGCACTCTTGCAAAATCGAATTTCATCAACATGGTCGCAGGACGAGAATAGAAGGAACACCAAGTGCCTTTTGCCATTGAGTGGCAAGCATGTGAACACGCAACTGAAGATCCAAAAGATGCCCCTTTGAATTTGAGCCAATTGTGTCTCCACAGGCGCAGTTGTTCCTGCGCTTGTTTCGGCTTTGGCTGCTGGTTAGGCACTGGGAACTTCTTCTTTGCTTGGGTCTGGGGCACTGTCCGGTGGCACTGCCGCTGGCTTGGAGTCATCTCCAAGGGCTTGAGTAGCTTGAGGCTTCTCTGGAAGAACAATCGCCACCTGGTGTTTCTGAATGAAAACCTCTGCTCGCTGTTTGACAGATTCAGATGTGGAACTTGCCAATAGTGTGAGGGCCCGGTTGCGCATGTCTGTTCTGCGGGCCTCTGACTTGGAGTCCGGTGGGCCTAAGTCTGGTGTGTGATGTGCTTCACCTCCTTGTCCTTCCTGTCTGCGCTTCTGTTTGCGCTCCAAGCTCTGAGGAAGTGTTGGAAGCTTCCGACCGTAGCTCCTTCCTTCGCCACCGCTCTCCCGCCTACGCCGGGCCTCGCAGCGGGGAGCCGCCGTGCCGGGACTTCGTGGGCTCCGGGCTGCCGGAGCCCCGGGACGCGGCGCGGTCTTTCGCATGGTCACCAAAGACGGGTCGTCGAGTTTCTCGAAGTTCCAAAGTGTGTTTTGCCTCCAAGTTGTGGGGTCAAAAGAAAAGAGTGTTCCGTTTTCTTTTGTCTGCCTCAAGGCAAGTTATATGTATATATATATATTATATATATATTATATATATATTATATATATATATATATTGTATCTGATATCATTTCAGCCAACCACTCTTGTCCATGAATCTGTGGCAACTCCGCCCCTGCTTCAGGGATCGTTGTCACCAGCTGAGCCAATACAGTATCAGGCAAAGGCAAGAACATGATGTGCCTTACTTACTTGATCTTAAAATCATGGTTTACTGGCATTGGCCCCCTCCCGACAAAGGGGCTAGGCTGAATCCAGTCTGAAACGTGTTGCTTTGCTGTGTCATGCATGGTGTCCAAGCCTGCCAGAACTCAAAATTTGTAGCTTAATTAAAAACAATCAAGCGTAATGAACCATGGGAAGGACTCTAACAAATCAACAATGCCAGCAACACTCAAGCCGCTGTCGCTGCCTGACCGGGTGTGTGCCACACTTTTAGAATCACTGGTAAGAGTCTGTAAGAGGTCTTTGGTCAATTTGCTTCCAATGGAAACGCGCTGCACACATGGTCTTCACGGCCTTCAGTGTGGGAAATGTGTCTTCAAAGCGGAAAAGAGCTGCCTAATTGAGTAGCAAAACCATTGGCGACTACTTTTGTGTACATTCTCTGGTGGATTTGTGGTTGACTGTCTGTCTGCTTCAACGACGTTGACTGCAAAGCGATGCAAAGCGAACTTATAGCATAGAATGGCATAGAACTTCAGAAACCACGCCTCTCGATCTTCTGTAGGAGCTCCAGATCAATTGGCATTGTTCCGACTCACCAGGCATCTAGCATTGCTAGGTTAGCCATCTCGGAGCTATGCAGCTATTCTTTGAGGCTTTCCTGTCATTTTGAGTCCGATACCTTTGTGTGATGTATGTTTTGCGACCATGTTTTCCTTTCTCGCTCAAAGCAAAGAAAGAGAGGCACAACTTCCTCAAGTTCTTTAGCTGCTGTAGAAAAGCCTTGTCCTTTGTAGGATTGTGGCTTGCTTTCGCAGTTTAGTCTCGGTGTTGAGCCTTCTGCTACCTGTTGTTTAAATGTGTTCAAATCATACCCCAAAAGCTGAGCCAACCATAGCGGAGGACTCACACTGCAGCTGTGCCCAAGCTGTGAAATACTCCAGGACACCTGCGGCTGCCACTTGCTCCCGGGGCACGTTTCTCCAGATCTGGAAACTCCGGAAGGCATTGATAGCTGGTCTCCTTGTTTTTAAGGCATTGCTCTGAGTCCTTGAGTACAAACCATCAAGGTATGCTTATACAGCCATATATCGTCCAATCATATGTTTGGGTCTATCCTATTGCCATGATGATGATGGTTGGTAAAGGCCTTTCTCAAACATAGTCATAATTGTTTACCTACTGTTGCAGGTAATAGGACTGACATATTGTTTTATAAAATAGTATGCTTGTTTCACTGTGACTCACCTGATCTTGGTTGGAGGTCCCGTCCTGGATCAAACTTGAAGGCTTAACGGACACCGGGCCGTCAACTCCAGGCGGACTGTCGTCCTCCTCAAGAGGTTCCTGCAGTCGGTTGGCGGCAGAATTCCACCAACATGGCTGCTAAGGTAAGAGAATCTCAAGGATTCGGCCATACCAAGAGGCCTGATTGCTACCAAGGGACTTTCGTTGTCCCTACATGTCCCCACGTCCCTAATACTGCTGAGAAGCCTCTCCATGCCCACAGCTCCTTTTCTTGCTTTTAGCCAGAAATCGATCTAAGGGTGTCCTTCTTAGCAAGACGAGAACAAATGGCCGATTCTCAGTGTATATATATATATACACTGATAGTGGTTACCTGAAATCATTTCAACCTCCCTGTTCCACACTCATTTCACAACCCTTGCAACCAACCAGGAAATTTAACAATTGCTGAGCCTCTTCGGCAAGCCAGGTGCCGCCAGTGGCCTAACATCTCAAAGCCACAAAGGCAAAACGCATGAAAGCAGTATGGCCAGTGTGGCAAGCCTTCCCAGAATGAGGCGAATGCCTCGAATTCACTGAAATTTCTCTTTCATTCACTAACTTAAAGGCTTGGAAAGACTCGGTGCATGGAACATTCCAAAATCATCAACTACAAGCGTCGGGGTTTAGTCACCCGGGTTTGCAAAAAGTCACCGGCCGCATGTAAGCGCAGTATTAGTCAAAAGTCACCCGTTTTATGTTAAAAACACCATGTAAACGCTCTACGGAAGTATGTTTGTCAAAACTCCTATACATCAAGAATTCATTGCCCCTGTGCACAAAAGAACTAGATGTATGTCGAAGTTTGCAGCTTTTTGGTGACCGAAACACAGTCAGAACGCAAGAGTAGGACTATCATGAAGATTAGCCTGCAAACATAGATGCAGCATGCTGGGACTACAGAAACTTTTCTACTTGCTCCGGCCCGGATCAAATGGATTTGAATGAGTCGGCGATTCCAACAGTCAGCGGTCTGGCGATTCCAAAGCTTATCTTCCAATCATATTGACATCTTGCACCTAAACCGCATGTAAACGCAGCATCCAGACGACTTTCTACAAGACCAGACGACTTAACACAGGTACCCAATATATATATATATATAGTGTGGTTTTGAGTACTTTTGTAGCTGCAAGGCCTGCATCATACAAACGGAGCGCGACAGTCTCACGCCTCCGCCAGCTGAGCGAGCGCAGCGAGGGTGACATCGTCCAGCTCCATCGCAGGGACCTCACCAAATGAGACAGCAAAACTGTGACATGCCGACATGCCAGAAAGAAACAGCCGGCCGCAACAGCTGGACGCCCAGCAGCCTGGCTGCATTTTTGTGCCTCTGAATCAAAGTGCCGTGTACCGCAATGTACTGCTCCAGTCTACAACGGGCTTGCGTGGAGACCCATTGCAGGCTACTGTATAAATTTGCCTATCCAGTGCAAACCGTCTTTGAGTTGCAGCGACTATCTCTCTATATATATATATTTATGCGTACAACAACTTCCCAAAGTTCACAGGTTTGGGGTGCCACACCCAGGAGGACCTTTCCATTCTTGCTTTAGGCTCTAGACTCTATATCATAGACCCAGTATGGCCACAATGTATGAACCAAAGTGTATCGCCTGGGTTCTACCTCATCAACATTGCTGATTCAAGCGCCCAGATCTTATTGGAAAAGCAAGCCAGGAACATATTATGTGCATCTCTCAATGTTCCACGGCAAGCCACACAAAACGTCAGCCTAGTGCCGTATGCCATCTTGATGCAAACTATTCATAAGCATTTAGCCCACAGAATGTGAGCAGCTTCAAAAACTTGCGAGACAGGATGCTCAGGTCCAAGAGGGCAACTGATATTATTCTGATCCAAGTATGCATGGACCATGGATTGGAATTTCTGCCTACGCCTACGTCCTGAATCATCCTTATTCTACGAAGAATTGTAGATAAACATTGTATTGTATATAAAAGTGGCATGACAACGACGATAATGATGACAACGAGAACCAGTGCTGGCAACAAATGGGAACAGCAGCTACAGTACAACAATGACAGGAACAGCAGCACGGCAAGGACAGCAACGAGCGGCAGCCACAGCACCAACAACCGCGATGTGACAAACAGCACCAGCACCACAACCACAACCCATCAATAAAACTGTCTCGCAATGATGTGGAACAGGCATGCGATGGCCAGGTTCCATCAGTGTTGATATGGTCAGGTTCCATGAGTAAATTTGCCATAATCTGCCTACCAAGCACGGATTATGATCAGCTTGGTCTGGAGAAATGTATCAATACCATTCAATATCATCCTTTTACCCCCCTGTCTTGAGCAAACCCTCCAGTCGAAAGCACCGCTCACAAGCATCGCTCATATCGCACTCCTTCCATGGAATCCTGTCAGGTTGCACTGGTCATCCACATGATGACTCATGCTGATGCTCAAGACCAGTAGGTCTCGCTAGCATGCTGACAAGAAAGCATGGAAGTGTTGTCTTTGTTTTGGGAAGCCTGCGAACACATCCAATATTACGGCTAGAATCCTTTCCTTTCTCACTACCAGTACCATTGACTTCCACCGTGTTCAGACTTGGTCAAAAGATTCACCCGAAGCCATTGTTCTAAACGTGTCCAACGATAGGACTGGCTGCCAACATGTCTCTCAATGTTGAATGCCTGCGGCTCACCCGAAGAGCTTCAAGTCGTACCTGCATCCATTCACGTGGATCGAGGGACTCCTATTCTGACTCCTGCTTGCACAATCCTGACAAATGCTCATATCGGTCAACCGGACAGATGATCGGACAGTTTAGCAGGAGAGTCCGATAGTCGAAGCATGCTTTGGGGAGGGGGAAAGCTTGAAGCATCATTGAGCAAACAATTCTGGATGTCATTGTGCTTGCGGGGGTATGTGTCCCTTTATCACACGTGATCATCCTTGTTTGCCAGAGTCCCTCACACCATCGTGGCTAGCGGATCGCAGGCGGCTGCTTCGTCTTTCGCTAAACTCAAGATGTCACCAAGCAACCAAGCAACGCATACAACGAGAACAGAATCAAAGGGCACTTGAACTTCAGCAGCCCCATTGGATCCAGAGTCCGACCAATCTGCTCAACCTTCGAGAGTGCAGGTCTGGATCGTTGGGTTTCAACATTTGTTTCAATGAAGCGATGACTGAAGCTAAAATAAGCTAAAGAACTCACGGTGACGATGAAAAAAAACAACAAACGAGGAACGAGGGTCACACAATAAACTCCATATTGCTTGCACGGCGACATCGATCAGCTGAAGGTGACTTGTAAGATGTTTTAGTAACAAGAAGCTATTAGAAACAAGTGCATCGCTAGTAGTAACAGGTGCCACGCTAGTAGTAACAGGTGCCTTACTAGTCCCCAATCTCCAACCGAATCCCATTTCGCCTCTGCGCAGGTGCGGTAGTTCACGGTCCACATCCAGCTCAAGGGAACGGCGGTCAGGAAAATGCAAGCCAAGTTCCTTCAAAGGCACATTATGAACGCAGGCCATCGCTACGAGGTTGGAGGCCATCGCTATTGGGTTGGAGGCCATTGCTATTAGGTTGGAGGCCATCGCTATTAGGCAAAGAGCCGACACTATTTGCAAATCTTATATAGGAGTTCCCCCCCGCCCACATCTGCGTAAGAAAACCCTGGCTGCTCAAGTCCGCTTGTCTGTCTGACAGTCATGGATTAGCCTTCAATGTAGAGTTCCATTCCACTGTGGTTCGTTTTCTCGTTCAGTGTGCAAACTTGCCAAGTCACCAGTTGTACCACTTCACACGGTCCTGTGGCATGTCTGCCGGAACCCGAGCGAAGGGAAGGATGATCAGCAAGTTTGAAACACTTCGTATTTGTATGTCTTGCTTAGCACAAACTGCAATCCTCATTTAGATATGATGCTAGCTACTAACAGCAAGGTGCCTTACTACTAGCAGCAAATAGCACTAAATAGCTACTAGTAGCAAGGACACTACTAAGTAGTTGTAAACAAAGAATCACCATCGTCACGAATCCGACCCCACAGTCTCCTCATCCATCATGTTGGATCGGCGGGCAAAGCGGCTCTTTGAGAACTCTGGGAGCTCGATCTGGACAGTTGGTCTATATAAGCTACTAGGAACAAGTGCCACGCTAGTAGTAACAGGTGCCTTACTAGTAGTAACAAAAAAGCTATTAGAATTAACTTTAAATTAATATATAGTCGCCCACGGTCCATGACGTTGGGATTTCACGTATCAATATAAACACATAACACGAGACCCCATTATTTCCCCACGGTCTACGACAAAACTTGAAAATGTATATGGACGCTCAAACCCGGCAGCTCGCGCTTATTTCCCTTGAGCCAAAAGTCGGGGTACGTGTATAGTATGTACATACCCTACATCCAAACACCCCTCCTAAGATTCTTCTGCTTTGCAGATGAATCTTCACTCTACGGCTTTTGCAGCCGAGCTCTTGCCGGTCTTTGCGTACTGGCCTAAGGCATGCATGTGCTTCCAACAGGTCTCCGCGCTTAAAGGCTTGGTGCTCAAGTCGGCAACGTTCTTGTCGGTGCCCACTGCGACCAACTCGAACTCTTTCTCTTTGAGCTTCTGCTGAACCCACAAGTAGCGGGTCTGTACATGCCTTGTTTTGCCTAGCCCGCGTCGACTGCACATTCCTCTGGCTGCACTGGAGTCTGAAAGAACCATGCAGTCCAACTCAACTCCCCGTTCTCGGAACAATTCTCGTATCCCGAGCACTGATGCCGTTGCTTTAACGATGGCGTAATACTCCGATTCGCCCGAAGACAACGATATCGTCGTTTGCAGAGTTGATGAAGACTTCAAGGTATGCTGTCCACACATCAGGACCAGTCCGGTGGTGGACTTTCTTGTGCGAACGCATCCAGCATGGTCACTGTCTGTGAAAGCTCGGATCTTGGCGTACATCCGTTGCGGTTTGAACTCTTGCACAACTCTGGGTTTGCCTAGCAGGTATCTGCCCAAGCGTTTCAATCTTGCCCAAGAATCCTCATCGGGAACGGACATAGACCTTGCCAATGTTTTCACAGCTTCACATAGATCTCCTCTGTCTAGGCTCAAATAGGCTGCTCTCATCACCAACGATCTGTAGGTCTTTGCTTGCTCATGATTCAAAGGCGGCGTTTCAATGAACGCCTCTTCCCCCGTTTGCTTTGTCGATGGTGTGCTCACTTCTCGAGCGCCTTCTAGTTGCAATTGTTTCACAATGATTTCTGCGTGTCTAGGATCAGCTTCGTATGTCAACGTCCCTGTGGACTTGTTGTATTCCAAAATCCTATTGAGCACGCTCATCACCGTGCCATCTGACTCTTCAGGTCCGACGCATCCGTCGACACGAAATTCGAACTTCTTTGCCAAAATGGTGGCAATCCGCTTCTGTGCATCTTCATCTCCTAAAATCAGAAAATCGTCTCCATGCACGAGAAATCTCGCGTCTGACTGCGTGTCATAGAATATCGATGGCCATGCTGTTCCAGCTTGAATGCCGTGTTCTTGAAGCAATTCACTGTAGGTTGCTTGCCAAATTGATGCTGCATCTTGCGTCCCGTACATCGTTTTGACAAGACGGGCACAATGACCAGGCGTCTCATCTCCTTCAGGCAATGTGCAATACACAGCTCGTTGAGAATCACCATAAAAATGAGCACGGCTTATGTCCAGCAACTTAAGCTTGAGCACTTTTCCACGTCGGCTGACCTTCATTGAAGTCATGAGTGAACAAAGTGCCTTGAGTGCCTCGAGTGGAGGCATTGCTGAGAAGCTCTCACATTCTGGAACAGTCTGACCTGGCTTCTTGACTTCTCTGACCACCAAGCGACTTCTGTAGTTTTCTTTCACATTGTCTCCTTTGTTCTTATCCACCCACTTCAAGGTGATGGGTGGCTTGCCAGTGGTCTGATGGCATTCTTCAATCGGAACCTTGACGTAGATCTGTTGCTTGTGAACCCATCTCAACTCTTCTTGCCTGGCGGCAAGAACTGCTTCTTTGCGCAATGGAGCTCCAGTGACGGTGTCGAAATACTCGGCTTGTTCGTGATCTTCTGCTGGAGCATCGAACTTGTTGTTGGGTTCGTTTGTCTCTCCATCTGGACTAGGTCCAGACCCTTCAACTGACAGTTCATTGAGCTCTCCACGCCATTGAAGTTCCTGTCTGATCGCGCGCAGGATCGCTGCCACCATGCGTGGAGGATA